GATTCTCTGGCTACTAAGGTCCTCTGACCAGATTGGTTTTAGCTGGATGGGAGGCAACTCATCACCTTGAACTAGGGGAGAGCAGGGAGGTGGGCTGGAGAGGTGCCCCCTGGCAGGCCTTGCTGGACAATTGATAGGCTTGGGAAGTATTGGAACATGGCCTGAGCTCTGTTTCCATTTCCAGAAGGCTGTTGAGAGGACCATGTTCCCCAGAGGGAATCAACAAGAAGCTGGGACACCACCAGAGGAATCATTGCCACCAAGGTGCAAAAGACTGGTTTACACTTGAGTGACCTTGGGCAGCTTGTCACACCCTGAGGTGGCCCTGGGCAACTTGACCGAGGTTGCTGTCTTGCACCACACAGAGGAGTAAAGCTCCTCCTGGGCAGGGAAGAAACCTGCAGTGGCAAAGGTAGTAAGACTGGCCTTGGGGGAGTTGGGGAGTTGAGGCCCTGGGTTCCCAGGGGCCACAGGCAGCCAGGCTCTGCCTGCACCAGGGGTCACAGGAGCTCTAGTCCAGGAAGAAACAACGCCCAGCAGGACAGCTAGATTCACCAACAGCCGGGGTCCAGTTTTCTAGTTTCATCTCCCCAGGGCCCTCCAAGATGCCTCATTTCTCAGATGGAGAAGCCAAGGTCCAGAGGCATGGTGAAGTGTGCCAGCACCTTCATATCTGGCTGAGACAGACCTCAAAGTGAGCCCCACAAGAGTCAAGGCTAACAATGGTTTGCCTTCAAGTTCAAGCTCTCCAAGCATCAGGACACTACCCAAGTGCACCACCGGCACCTACATGCTGTCCAACAACAAAAACAAACAGAATCACTTTTGGGGGTTGGCGAGGTCTGGTTTCGAATTAACTTTCATGTCTGCTTTCCAGAGTCAGCGCCAATCACAGAAACCAAATCTGAAGTCAGAGCCACCTGTAAATCAGTGTCAAATGAGCCACTAGGGGGCAGGCTTGTCTCAGGGTGTCCCCTCTCCCCCAAGCAATTTTCTACTGCTGGGTTCTGGTCTAGAGCCAGATGTCATTGTGCCCCTAGAGGGAATGGTCAGCTCGTGAGTGGACTCTGCCTCAGGTCTGGGTTGTCCACTTGCCCTTAGCTGTTTTCTTTTTCTTTCTCTCTTCTTCTCCTCCTCATTCTCGTTCTGCCCACCCCCCCCCCTTTCTCCTCCCCACCCCTCTTTTTTTTGGTACTGGGGAATGAACTCAGGAGTGCTTAACCACTGAGACACATCCCCAGTCCTTTTTATTTTTTATTTTGGACAGGGTCTCCCTAAATTGCTTGGGACCTTGCTAAGTTATTAAGGCTGGCCTTGAAATTACAATCCTTGTGCCTCAGCCTCCCAAGCCCTTGACTGCTCTCATGCCCACTCTGTTGTCTTTGAATGTCAAACAATAGCAGTCACCAGGCATGGAGGATATATTATGCATACAGTTTGGGCTCATTATTTTTATCTGAATTCGACATTACCACATTACCATTGTACCCATTTGATAAGAGAAAAAGACAGATTCAGAGATGGGCAGTGACTCCTTCAAGGCCACACAGCCTAGGAGGAGTGGGACTGAAATTCCCACGTCTGTCAATACTCTTGGCTGTTACATTATACTGTCCCCATCCTCAGCAATGCCTTGCTCATTTTATTGCTTTGTAATAAAATTTTAGATTCAGGGCCTCCTGCTATAGCTGGAGGAAGACTTCAAGGACATCAGGGTCTGGTCTAATGTTTACTATGCTTTCTTCCCTGCAGAACCTGTTACTCCAAAGAAATTATATAAATAGACAAATAGACTCGCTCAGCTTAGCAGGGTTGCTCCCAAAGCGAGGTCCAGCAGCAGCACCTCCTCTGGGAACTTGTTAGAGAAACCATTTCTCTGCCCGCCTCAGACATGCTGATCCACTCCGGTGGACCAGTGACCCTGGGTTAACAGGACCCCCGGGGAGTCTGGTGCTGACAGAGGCTGAGTGAGGCGGGGCGTAGGAAAAGCCACCTCCTGGGGGAGATGGAAAACCCTCCCCTCACTCAAATGGAGCTGCTGCTGCTACTAGTTGTGCACCCAGATTTGTTGATCGGTGGCCATGTCGACTTTTGAACATTTGCTACTCCAGCTCAAGTATTTCTGGTGCCTTGGAGTTCACGGTCCCTTGTAGCATGTGGGTTGAGTGTAAGACCAAGGAGAGCTGACCACGTACAGACAGACACAGTCCATGGGCTCCACTCATGGCCCTCCCACTGCCCATGACCATCCCAGCTGCCCAGAATGGACAGAGTGTAATGGAGGCTAGCAGACCAACAATGTCAAGTGCAGAGAACCCCCACCTTGTCCCTTCTATGGTGTCCACATCCTCATCCCTAGAACCTGTGAATATGAGCTTATGTTCAAAAGGGATTCGGCAGGTGTGAATCACTGAGGGATTGTGGGTGCATGGGAGGATTTTCCTGGACTGTCCAGTGGGCCCAGGAGGGTCCTTGTGAAGGGAGGCAGAGGGAGAGGAGAGACACCCCTGCTGACCTCAGAGGTGGATCAGCCATGAGCCATGGGAGGTAGGTGTCCCCTAGGGGCTGGGAAGGCAAAGGAAGAGCTCAGCCAAGACCCTCCAGAAGGCAGGCAGTCCACAGACCCCTTGCAGACTTTTGGTCCTCAGGACCATACAAGAACAGACCAGTGCTGCTTTAAGGTGCCGGGACTGTGGCATTTTGTCACAGCAGCCATAGCAAACTAATACACACTCTTGCTGGGCTTCTAGCATCTGCCAAGTGACTCAGAGCCCCACATGCGCTATTCCAGGGACCTGAGCCATCCTCTCGCCTCCTGCCTGTGCCTTCAGCTTTCCCGCCTTGGCCAGAAGTCTATTCCCAGGTAGGCCCCCCAGCCCCTCCTGGCTGGACCAGGCCTCCCCCCCTCCACTGTGGCTCTTTGCTCTGAAGAACCACCCGACCTGATCTCCCTCATTCCCTCCTTCACTGGCCCCAAGGTCTCTAGTCCCCTATGCCTGTCCCCAACGCCTCTGTCCTATATTTATTGACTATTTCTCTCCTCCTGCTGGGCTGAGGCTCCATGAAATCAGGCCCAGCCTAATCAGCACCACAGCTGTGTGTGGAGCCATTGGATGGGGTTGGCCAGGTGAGGAAGGCCAGGGCCACTCTATGCTCAGCTGTTTCCTGGAGCTCTTCTGGCACAACCTTCCTGCACACCCCACTTCTTCCTGCCATTCAGTCAGTCAACAGACATTTATTGAACACCTAGTATGTACCCACCTCTTACTTCCAGTCCCAGGGGACAACAGTGTCCTAAACAGATGAGGACACTCAAAGGAATAAGGAAGGAAGTGGAGTAGGTGCTGAACTAACCTTAGAGCCTGAGGCCAGCAGGTGGCCTGTGAGCGGATGACACAAACCCAGGCTTCCCAGCTCTGAGTCACATTATTGTCTATAGCACAAAATCATCGCTGAGGCACGCTCATGCCCACGAGCCAAGCACACAGGGGGCCGAGGGCTTCCGCTGGCTTGTCTGCCGTGAGGCACGAGGTACAAGGGTGAAGCACGCACACCAGTGACCACAGCTCTTGGACCCAAATCCCGGCCCTGGGCCTCAGTAGCTGTGCCACCTCAGGCCACTCAATCTTTATGAGCCCATTTCCGCATCTGGAGACAGAGGTGACCCAGTAACCTTGGTTCTACCTTAGAGAATGGGATCTGATGAAGGATCAGCCCCTGCGGGCCCAGACCCTGGCTCCAGTGTGTGCTCAACCTGCAATAAATGCCAATCTTGGCTTTTTTTTTTTTTTTTCCTGCTTATGTTTCTTCTTTTTTTGGACATTTGCTAGAATGCAGTAGCAGGTGCCAAGAAGGTAGGAAAGACATTCACGGAAGAATAGTTCTCTCCATGATCTATTTGTTGTTTTGTTTTAGCGGCAGAACACATTTGGCGGCTGAGCTCATCATCAGGTCTGCTTCTCCCATTGGACCAGACGCTCCCTGAGGGTCTGGGACCTGACTTACATGGACACAGGACCTGAGTTACACGGACACGCTGGGATGGGGGGTGGTGGGTGCTAAGGATGGAACGCGGACAGCTGACTTCCTCTCTGACTCTCACAGGAGGAATCCACGGGAGGCACTTTGCTCTGAGTCTGGAGGGTGAGACCCTGAGCCCTGGGAAGAACAAGGATCTTCCGGAACCAGACTGGCTGGGCCTGGACATGAAGGTCCACGTGGAGTGGAGGCTTATGGGGCACAGTGAGACAGAGACTCAAGGGCATGGAGTGAGGGTCCAGAGAGGAGCCCTTAGAGAGACCGTAGGCCTTTCACACACGCAGCCAATGATCCACGTTGGGTGGACTCCTGGCCTGGGGGAGGGCAGCGCCTGAGTTCTTCTGTCAGTAAATCCCCCTAATGCCCTGACCTCCTACCAGAAGGCTCCCCCTTCCCTGAATCCCTAAAAAGACTGAAGATCACAGAGGCACAGGGGGAATGGTACGTGTCTTCCCTTGCTGGGAGCCAGCGAGGCCCTCCACAGCCTGGGCAGCGGTGGAAGGACGAGCTGGACTCCAGCCTCACTGCCAGCTCTCAGGGTGGGCTGCCTTCCTCTTGGCCACATCAGCTGCTCCCCGGGTCTTCGTGGTGGGCTCACCATCAGTTCTGCTTCTCCCACTGGACCAGACGCTCCCTGAGGGTGGGAGCAAGCTGTGAGAGCCTCGGGGAATCCATCCCTCTCTGGACCTCAGGTTGCCCCTGTCCTTGTGAAATGAGGGGTAGAGCTTAAGGGCCCCCTGGCCTTCTCTGACAGCGGAAGCCTGTTTCCTGCATGAAGCCAGCCCTGCAACCACATCAAAGAGCTTTAATTGTGGGATGGAGAAGACAGAACCGTGGGTTGGGGGACATGCCTGATTCTAGGAGCTGCTCCATGGGCGAGCTCCAACACTCCACGCTGGCCCGTGCAGGGCTGCCCGGGCTCTCCAGGTGGCTCATGTGAGCTGCTGGTGGGGCGGCAGTTCTCAGAAGTGTGGCTTCAGGCGAGGGGGAGGCACGGGGATGGCATGCTCCCGCCTGGACATAGCGCTCAAGGGCAGTCTGGGGTAGGAGGAAGTGTAGACGCTCTCCCTCCAGCCAGTCTTGGGGAGCATCCACTGCTGCTTCAGACGCTCATAGAGTCCATAGTTTGTGGGCGGAGCTGCAAGAGAAAGCGAGTCTGGGTGACACGGTTTGGAGCAGTCTTGTACAGACTGACCATGGAGACACTGGAGGCTTACCCAGGCTGTTGTACCAGGGACAGAAGCTGGCAGGGCAACCAGAGGGTAGGGCTTCCTACCCGTGGCCCATTTTCTTTTACCCTCTCTGAAATTATCTTATTTACCTGATCACCAGCTGTTGGGTCATTAATGGTGTATTGTCTTTCTCCCCACTGGAACGTCACCTCCCCAGGGGCAGAAATCCTCTGTGCTTGTCACCACTGTGTCCCCAGGTGCCACTCCAAGATAATGCCAGTGGGGAAATAGTCCCTGCTTGCTGAGAGAATGACCATGGGAGGCTTCCTGCCACCTGGGCTCCAGGTAAATGCCGCCTGGGCTGCCCAGGTGAGTGTCATTAGGAGCATGTCCCCAGGTTCAAGAAGAGCGAGCAGGTGGAGGCCCTGAGCGGATGATAGGACTCCTCCTGCTGCTTGCTTTGAGCCAGAGGCCTCAGGTAATCCTCCTACACAAGCCCTGTGCATCTGTGACCCTTTCCAGGCCAACACGGGGCGGGGGGGGGATTCTGAATTTTGAAAGTACCAAGAAGGGGGAAGTCGACCTTCTCTGGAAGCCACAGCAACTTCTGTCTACTCCAGGTGCGGAGAGCGGGCAAGGCCGGATTGTAATTATGCCTGTTGTAATGGTCGTCATAAGAGCTGATCAGGTAGCGGTGGGAGGGCTCCTGGTGGTGGGTGATCAGGTGTTTGTACGGGATCCCCTGGAAGGACAGACAGAGCAGGCACATTAGCCATCAGAGCAAGGTGTCCACCTGACCACGGACGGAGGTAGGAGCAGCCCTTCATGAAGCTGTGGCCTTGATGGAGAGGAGCCCCCCACCCGGTTGGCAGTAAGTCGCAGAGGCCCCCAAAATGGGAAATACAAGTGTTTGTCCCCCTCTGATGTGGCCTTCCTTCCAACACATGTCCCTGCTAGCCACAGGCAGCCTATGCCAAGCCCATTCATCCCTGGAATGAGCGATGGTGGCAGATTAAAGTCAGGACCCTGGGTGAGCGGGAAGACTCAGACGCTCACTGTGCTCCCTCGTGATCCGAAATTACACCCTTTGATTTGTCTCAAGTTCACCCACCCAAGTGCCTATTTCCAAGGCCAGCGGCAGATGCTGGGTGCCAGCCTGGCGGCCACGCCTCACATTTCAATCAGTTATACCGTGGGAAGAACCCGAGGGGGTCCGTAAATCGCCTTCCCTCGCGAAGGATTTACAGCTCCCTCGGCTAGGAAGCAGGGGCTCCGACTCTTTGGTGGGGAGTTATTTACGGGGAGAAAAAGACCAAATTCATAGGGAGATGGAAGGTTTGACTGAGTCAGTGGATTTCTTGAAAGAGTCCCCTCGGTCCGGAAGGGAAACCTGGGGAACTGGGATGATTTACGGGGGGTGATAATGTGGATTTCCATGTGTGTCCTCTTGTTTGGAGCAGACAGGGAGGTCTGAGTCGGCCACGGTTGGCTACACCCAAGAGTTCAAGGGGTGGCTCCATAAATAAGCCAGATCACAATACCAGAGCGGACAAATGACAGTGGGCACAGACACTAAGCAAGGTTCCCAAGATGTACACCATCAGGTGCCCGGGAGTATTTCCAGTGCCAGGACAGTCAGCCGAGGGTGTCCCTCCAACAGAGTGAGTGCAGAGAAGGCCCCAGAGCAGGGGAAGGAGAGGCCACGGTGGGGGTTCTGGACACTTCGTTTGGTTCTGGTGTGGCCTGCTGGCTTCACTGTGGCTTGTTTTAATCAGGTATGATAAGGAGGCAGACATGGGAACAACCACCTCTGAATGAAGAATCCAGTTCTCATGTGGAGGGGACAGGCCATAACCTTGCAGGGCCACTGGGGGGCAGCACCGGGCAAGGCAGCAGGTACGTGTGGGGGACCCCAGCTGCCTCTGGGGTTCCTGTGGGAGGGAGGCAGCTAGGCAGGGTAGGCACCTTCAAGCAAGTTTAGGATTGGATAGTTTAAGTTCAGAGAGCTCTGGGACACAGGGGTGGTCTCTAGAGTTCCAGCCCTGGGTCAAATTAGAGCAGAGGAAATATTGACCTGGTGTGCAAGAATTAGATAAGTAGGGGAGGTGGGGCTGCGGGCTTGGGTGGTTGGTGGTCCACAGGAGAGATGTACGAGAGGTGTACTCATAAGCAAGTTGCTTGTTAGGGTTAGGAATTAGCTAACCCGGGACCTCTCTCCAGAATCCAAAAGGCCCCTGAGATGTCAAACCAGCATCAAATACAGGCAATTTAAAATGTGATTAGTACACCTGCTGGGGGGGGGGGGGTCGGGAAGAGGGCCCTCCCTGGGCAATGACTCCACAGTCAATGGTCATTTTGGAGACCATAGAATTTGCCTAAAAAGGGAGAAAAGTAAGGTGCGGGTGGCAGAGAAGAAAGACGCTGTCCTAGGAGGAGGGATCTAAATGAAGCTTGGAAATGAAGGAGCTGCTTGAGGCAGTGCGTGGACACCCAGGGCCCTGGCACACAGACAGGCGATCATACACTTAGAAATGAGTGGACGATGGTTTTTGTTGTTGTTGTTGTTGTTGTTGTTGTTGTTGTTGTTGTTTTCCTATTAATGTGTGTTGGGTTCAGGGGGCTTTTTATTTAACCAGACTTCCTTAAGCTCTTGAGTCTAGGTTTGTGTGGGTCCAAAGGTCTTTAGGAAAGGCTTCCTGGTGCTCTGTGTTGAGAGAAAATTGACCCCTCACGTGGGCAGAGGGGACTGGGAGCCCCACATGGTGGGTTCTGAGAGTGATCCGCTGAGGTTAAAGGGCACTCCTGTCTTCCATGTACACTAATGGTGACAGCCAGCAGCCGCAGAGTGTTAGCACGGCTTGGAGATGCCAGCATCCTCAGCTAGAGATGCCGTGTGATTCAGGGGTGCCCACAGGGCCTGGGGGTGTCAGTGTGGCCCAGGGATGCCTACAGAGAGCTGAAAACCTGACACTATTTATCCTGACATGGGTCCCCAGGTGCAGAAGACACGTGGTTGCTTTGCCCAATTTACAGAGCAGCCACCTGCTTGTCCCCTAACCATCAGCCTCCCCGCTTTGGTAGATACCACCTCTGTGTACTGAGCGGAACCATCTCTTGGTCCCTGTGAGCTCTAAAAGGCCCTGATTGTGACAGACCTCCACCACCGTGCTCCAGGCCTCCCCATCCAGGTTCAAGCAGGTCAAGGTTCAGAGAGTGGGAGACAAAGATGACCTCCAAGCCGAAAGGCTGGCAAAAGAAGTCACTTGGGATTCTGAGCATGATAGAGCTGGTGGGTGAAAGGGGCATGCCTGGCAGGGATGCCCACAGAGGTTGATGGAGGAGGCTCCCTGCTGTTCCTGGAGAAGCCAGGATCTCTGTGCCCCTGAGGCATCTCAGATGTCCCCTGTGTTGGCATGTGTCCTGAGGTTGCTTCCTGCTCCCAGAGCACAATGATAGCCCCCCGAGCTTTGGAGGGGGCACTCCTAAATGTGGGGTGCGTTCTCTCTTACCTCATTTTTCCTCTCCCTATACCACCTGGAGATCCGATCAGGCTTGTGGCCGGGGAAGGGGACGTACTCCTTTCTATAAAGGCTCTGGGGTGTCTTCTCAGTGGCTTTGATGAACTAGAAAAGACAAAATATTCAAGAAAATATCTGAGATGTGGCTTCTCAACCTTCTGCTGAGTTCCCTCACATCCTGGGCCATCAGAAGATGGGCCGAGGAAGACAAAGTTCAAAGTCAGGACATTCCACGTGACACAGGAAAGACACGCTCGGGGACTGAGCACCCCCTCAGCACCCCTGGAGAGCAGCTGTTGCTCCCCGGCTGCCTCTCGGCCTCACTCTGTCCTTTCTCGCCTCCTCTCCTCTCTCCTCCTCCTCTCTCCTCCTCCTCTCTTTCTCCTTTTTTCTTCTTTGTTCCTCACTCTTCCCAACTCCACTGTCTCTTTTTGTTGTATCATGTTTTCTAATTAGTTTTCTTAAAATTTAATGTGGCCAGATATTAAACATTTACAACTTTGCGCCATTTAATGGCATTTCAATGGCGTTATGTGTGTTCCCGTTGCTGTGTAACCATCACTGCCCTCCAACTCCAGAACTTTCCATCCCAAACTGAACCTCTGCCCCTGTCAAACACCCCCTCCCCATTCTCCTTCCCCAGCCATTCTACTTCCTGTCTCTATAAAATTGCCTGTTATGGGCACCTCAAGTAAGCAGAATCTTACAGTATTATCCTTTGTGTCCAATTTATTCACTTAGATGCTATTAGATTGGTTGGCTGGTTGGTTGGTTGGTACCATGATTGAACCCAGGAGTGCTCAACCACTAAGCCCCATCCCTGGTGCTTTTTATTTTTTATTTTAAGACAAGGTCTCACTAAGTTGCTTAGGTGCTCAACCAAGTTGCTGAGGCTGGCCTCTAACCTGTGATCCTCCTGTCTTACCCTCTGGAGTCGCTGGGATTATAGGCATGCTGTCTTCAAGATCCATTCATCTTGTTGCATATTTCAGAGTTTTCTTCCTCTTAAAGGCTGAATAACATTTTCTTGTGTATATATGCCATATTTTGTTTTTCTGTGCACCCATTAATGGGTACCTGGACTGTGCCCACTTTGGGCTGCTATGAATAACATTGCTATGAACATGGAGTCCCTGCTCACCATCTTCTACAGATCCAGAGAATTCCCGGATCATATGGTAATCCTGCGCTTAATTTTTTCTACACCCTTTCACATTCCCACCATAATGCACTAGAGTTCCCACGTATCCATGTCCTCTCACCAACACTTGTTCTTGTCCTTTCTTTCTTTCTTCCATCTTTTGTGTGTGTGTGTGTGTGTGTGTGTGTGTGTGTGTGTGTATGCACATGCACCCATGCTGCTGGGGGTGGGACCCAGGGCCTCGCCCTTGCTCTACCACTGAGCCACTCCCAGCCCCATTATTTGTCAGTGAGTATGGAGTGGTAATTTCACTGTGGTTTTGATTGATGTTATTCTAATGATACTGGTGTTCAACAGTTTTCATGTGCTTATTTCATAGCCATTTGACTATTCAAGTCCAATGCCAATGTTTAACTTGGGTTGTTTGGATTTGTGTTGTTGAGTTGTAGGTAGCCCTTACCTGTATCTTGGATGTGTAATTGGCAGATATGTTCTCCATCCCGTAGGCTGCCATTTGTCTCTTGCTATTAGTGTTCTCTGATATTGGCTTTTTTTTTAATTTTGATGACGTCCAACTTAACTGTTTTTGGTTCTGTTGCCTGTGCTTTTGGTGTTATACACAACCACTGCCAAATCCTGTCTCATGAAACTTTCCCCCTATATTTTCTTCCAGGAGTTTTACAGTTTGAGGTCTCCTCTGGGTCTTTGCTCCACTTTGAATTAATTCTTATCTGGTGTTAAGTAAGGGTCCCACCCCACTGTGCTGCCTATGGGCATCCAGTTTTCCCAGTTCCCCATGGTGAAGAATCCTTTCTCCAGTGAACAGAGTTGGCAACCTCATTTGACCATAAATAAAACTGTTTATTTCCAGGCTCTGTCTTGTGTTCCATTGATTTGTGTACCATTATCTCATTGTCTTGATCACTGTAGATTCATAGAAACCAGGAAATGTGAGTTCTTGAGTTTTGTTCCTCTTTTTCAAAATTGTTTGGGCTATTTGAGATTCCATGACTTTTAGGATGGATTTTTTTTCCCTATTTCTGCATCTACTGTGATTTTCATAGGGAATGCAATGAATCTATCTAGATTCTTTGTATAGTATTGGCAAAAATGTTTTTAAGTGCTGGGGATCAAACCCAGGGCCTCACACATGCCAGACAAGTGCTCTGCCCCTGAGTCACATCCCCAGCCCAATACTGGCATCTTAAGTATTCTGTTCTTTTCAGTGTTCCATTATATGGAATTGTTTTCTTGATTTCCTTCTCCGATTTCTCATTGTTCATATATAGAAATGCAACTTGACTTTTGTGTGTTGATTTCGTATCTTGCAACTTTGCTCAATTAGTTGATTTCACTGTGTGTTGATTTCACATGAGAGAGAGGGAGAGAGGACAAGGGGATCTTTAGGGTTTCTACATATAAAAATCACATCATCAGCAAAAACAGATAACTCTACTGCTTCTTTTCCAATTCAAATGCTTTTCTTTACATTTCCTAATTGCTCTTGTTAGAACTTCCAGGACTGTGTTGATTAGAAATCTTTGTCTTATTCCTGATCTTGCAGGAAAAGTTTTCAGAATTTCCCCACTGGTATGAGGCTAGCTTGCTTTTCACATAAAGTCTTTTTGTGTTGAGTACTTTTCTTCTGTCCCTAGTTGGTTGAGTGAAAGTGACTTGAAATGTGCCAAATGCTTTTTTTGCACCAACTGAGATGATCATGTGTTTTTTTCTTCATTATAATGATTGATTATCATGTGTTGATCCCTCCTTGAATTCCAGAAAATTCCCCACTTGGTCATGAATAATGAACAATCCTTTCACTATTTGATCAATTTCAGCTTGGTAGTGTCTTCTTGAGGATTTTTGCATTAATATTCTTAAGAAGGACTGCCTGTACTTTCTTTCCTTGTGATGTCTTTGGCTTAGCATCAGGGTAATTCTGGCCTCATAAAATGATTTAGGAAGTGTTTTCTCCTCTTCAGTTTCTTGGAAATGTTGGAGAAGCATTGGTATTAATTCTTTATTTAAATGTTTGATAAAATTCATCAGTAGGTCATCTAGTTCTCAGTTTTTCTTTCATTTTTTAAAAAATTGGTTCTATTTACATATTTATGATAGAATTTATTTTGCTATAATTGTACCAGCATGGAGTATATCTTATTCTAGTTAGGACCCCATTCTTATGAATGTACATGATGGTGGGATTCACTATGGTGTATTCACATAGAAAAATGTGATTATTAATTTAATCTCTCCACTAATTATAGATCTGTTTATATTTTCTGTTTCTTCACAATTCAGTCTTGGTAGATTGTATATTTCTAGATCTGTCCATTTCACTACTCAATTTTTTTGCATACAGGTGTTCATGGTACTCTCTTATAATCCTTTTATTTAGGAAAACTGATAACGATCCCCTGATTTAATTACCAATTTGAGTTATTGAGTCTTTTCTCTCCTTTTTTTTCTTAGTCAATATAGCTAACAATTTGTCAATTTTGTTGATTTTTTTTCAAAGAACCAGCTCTTGCTTTCACTGTAAATTTTCTTTTCTTATTCTCTATTCTATTTATCTCTAATGTTAATTATTTCCTTCATTGCTTTGAGATACTTCTTTTTAAAATGCATTTGCAGCTAAAAATTTCCCTCAACACTGTTTTCATGGTATCCCATAAGTTTTGGTATGCTGTATTTTCACTATCATTTGTCTCAAGATTTTTTTCTACTTTTCCTGTGATTTGTTTTATATATATATATATATATATATATATATATATATATATATATATATTTTATATATATATTCATATATATTTATTTTACATATAGTTTTATATAAATATATATACATTTATATTTACATATATATTTATTTTACACACACACACACATATATATATACACACACATACATTCCAAATGGTCTATAGTGTTGTTCATGTCCCCTGTTTCCATATTGGCTTTCTGCTTGGTTGTTCCATCCAACATTGAAAATGGGGTCTCGGGTCTGGGATTGTATCTCAGTGGTAAAGCGCTCGCCTAGCATGTGCAGGGCACTGGGTTCTATCCTCAGCACCACATAAAAATAAAATAAGGTATAGTGTCCAACTACAATTAAAACAAAATATTTTTTTTAAAAAAGAGGCCTGGACATGGTGGCACACGCCTGTAATCTCAGCAACTCAGGAGGCTGAGGCAGGAGGATGACAAGTTCAAGGCCAGACTCAGCAACTTAGCTGGCTCTAAGCAACTTAGTAAGACCCTGTCTCAAAATAAAAAATAAAAAAAGTGCTTTGGATGTTGCTTAGTGGTTAAGCACCCCTGGGTGTAATCCCTGCTATTAAAAAAAAGTGGGGGTACTTGTCCATCTTACTATTAATTTAAAGCCATCTCTTTTCCCTTCAATTCTGTTCTTTTTGCTTCATATAATCTGGAGTTCTGATATCTGGTGCATATGTATTTATAATTATTACACTTACTGGGTGAGTGGGCCCTCCTGTTAATATTTCATGACCTTTTTTGTCTCATAGCAGTTTTTAACTTAGAGTCTGTTTGCCTAACACCATTACAGCCACCTGTTCCCTTTGGCTACTGTTGCATGGACTATATTTCCATCCTTTCCCTTTCAACCCATGATGTCCTTACACCTAAAGTCAGTGCTTGTGGACAGCATAGAGTTGGATCCTGTTTTTAAAATCCTTTCCTTTATCCTGTGCCTTTTGATTACTGAGTTTTAATTCATTTACATTTAAAGTGAACTGATAGGGATGGATTCACTTTTGCCATTTTGCTGTTTTTCTGTGTGTGTTGTAGATTTTTGTCCCTTATTTCCTCCTCCTTGTTTATTTATTTATTTATTTGCATTGCTGGGGATTGAACCCAGATCCTTGCACACATTAGGCAGGTGCTCGGCAATTGAGCTACACCCCCAGCATTTAGTACCTTTTTTGTGTTAGTTGATTTTTTTTTAAAAAAAAAATCTTTATTATATTTACTTATTTTTATGTGGTGCTGAGGATCAAACCCAGTGCCTCACGTGTGTGAGGCAAGCATTCTGCCACTGAGCCACAACCCGAGTCCTGATTTTTTTTTTTTTAGTGACATGTTTTTATTCCCTTTTTACTTCCTTTTTTGTACACTCCACAGATATTTTCCTTGTGGCTACCATGGAGATTACACATGGCATCCTAAAATTATGACAATCTAGTTTAAACTGATACCAGCTGAAATTGCATAAATATATGCTTAAGGGAATTCTAGAAGGAGAAGAAAAACAAAAGTGTAAAGAGATTATTTGAAAAAATAAAGACTGAAAACTGCAAGTTTGAGTAAATACATGGCTCTACAAAAGTCTACTTCTTCGTAGCTCTGCCTCCCTTTATGCTACTGATGTCACAAATTGCATCTTTCTATACTGCCCTATATCCATTTACATAAGTTTTATAAATTTTTACATGTTTATCTTCTAAATTCTACATAAGGTAAAAGGTAGAATTACAAATCAAAATTATAATGACACTGGTTTTTATGTTCGTTCATGTATTTACCCTTACTAGAGAATCTTTATATTTTTCTGTGGTTCAAATTTCTAACATTCTTCCATTTCAACTTGAAATATTCCCATTAGCATTCCTTATAAGGCAAGTCTACAGAAGATGAACTCCCTCAGCTTTCATTTATCTGGAGATATCTTAATTTCTGCCTAATTTTTGAAGGACAGTTTTGTGGGATATAGAATTCTCAGTTGTTGGTTTTTCTTTTTTTGTCATCCCACTGCCTTCCAGTCTTCAAAGCGTCCCCTGAATAAACCACTGATCATCTTTATCTTTGACAAGTTACGTTTCTTTTGGTGTTCAAGATTCTCTCTGTCTTTGGTTTCCAGTGGCTTGATTATAATGTGGGTCAATGTGGAACTCTTTAAATCTATCCTATTTGGAATTCACTGAGGTTCTTGGATTTGTAGAGCCATGTATTTACTCAAATTTGCAGTTTTCAGTCTTTAATTTTTTAAATAATCTCTTTATACTTTTGTTTTTCTTCTCCTTCTAGAATTCCTTTGAGGCATATATTTACCTACTTGATGGGGCCCCACAAATCAATGTCCTGGGCTCCATTCACTGTCTTCAAGTTTTCTGCTTCTTTTTTCTGTCTTTTCTAGCCTGCTGTTGAAAAAAACATCTATTGATTTTTTTTTCAATTAATTTTTTGTGTGTTTTTCAGATCTAAAATTTATTTCTTTTCTTTTATAATTCTCATTTCATTCAAATACTGTTTTCTTAAATTACTTTTATTTTGTTTTAGTACTGGTGATTAAAAACAGTGATGCTCGACCACTGAACACGTATTCAGCCCTTATATCTTTTATTTTGAGACACTAGCCTCAAACTTTTGATTCTTCTGCCTCAGACTCCCAAGTAGCTGAGATCACATCATTTTGCATATAGGTATGTGCCATCACACCTAACTATCTGTAGTTTATTTTTTGTTTTGTTTTGTTTTATTTTGTTTTCTGTACTGGGGATTGAACCAGGAGTGCTTAACTACTAAGCCTCATCTCTAGCCCTTTCTATTTTTTAATTTTCAGGTAGGGTCTCACTAAGTTGCTGAGGCTGGCCTTGAACTTGCAATCCTTCTGCCTCAGCCTCTTGAGTCCCTGGGATTACAAGCATGTGCCACCATACCCAGCTTGCTTTCATTCTTTGAATATACTTTCCTTTAGCTCTTTAAGCATATTTAATAGAGTCATTTTAAAGCCTTTGCCTAGTACTTTGATGCTTGTGTTTCTTCAGAATTTCTTTTTTTTTTCTTTTTTTTTTTTACAGAGAGAGAGAGAATTTTTTAATATTTCTTATTTTAGTTTTTGGCGGACACAACATCTTTGTTTGTATGTGGTGCTGAGGATCGAACCAGGGCCGCACGCATGCTAGGTGAGCACGCTACTGCTTGAGCCACATTCCCAGCCCTCTTCAGAATTTCTAATGCTGTATTTTGTTGCTTTAACTGAGCCATGTTTTCCTGTTTCTTTGTATGTCTATCAGTTTGTTGTTGTTTGATTATAATGTGACTCAATGTGAAAGTTGAAAAACTGGGCATTTGAAAAAACTGCAAACCCTCTCAATCTTCATAGCCGGGATCTGGGCAAGGGAAGACCTTTTTCAACTAGCAGGTCATGTTCTGAGACTGAGGTCAGCCCTTCATGAAGGAAGTATCTGTGGGAGACCAACCTTACACATGACTGGGTCACACTCCCAGGCTGGGTGCTGAGGCACTCACTCACAGAAATGTGGTCAGTGTCTCTCTTGCATGGGTGTGTCTTGCTACAGCCTCATGGGTGAAGCTATGCTCACCTGTTCCTTTGTAATATAACCCCTTGCCCTATTTAGGTTAGAATCTTCCATGGAAGTGCCTTGTGTGTGTCCCCTCCTCTTACTGTGCAGCATACCCCTTGGGTGCAGCATACCCAGGTGTCAGTCAACCTGCTGACAGTGGACATCATGAAGATACTCAGCCCCCTGAAATCTGACCCCTTGCCTCATTTGAATAGCTTCCCTCAATAAAGGGAGTCAGCGCGTGCTCTCACTCTCTCTCTCTCTTTCTGCGGACCCTTAAGGTCAGAGGAGCCATCACAGCGACCCCAAAGACAAAGGTATTTGTGTCTCTTTGTGGTTATTTCGTGCAGCCCAGTTAGCCCAGTTTAACTGGAGTGACCCCTGAGCCTTTTAGTCACAAACAGAAACCCGGCAAGTATCCTCAGGCCTTTTCTTGGCACACAACTTGCAGGGGTCTGTACATACTTTTCAGATTCCCCCAAATACGTTTCTCCTTTTAGATGTTTTAATTTCCCAAAGAGTCTCACCCTTCCCTGCTTCTTCTTGGGGCCTTGTGTGTTCTACTCTATCCACAATCTGTTGCCCCAGGCTTATCCAGGTTTGTAGTCCCCTGGCAGTTCACTAGCTATGCCTGCTACTATTTTACCTGGCTTTTCCAAGCCTGGGCTGTGAACGAGGCTACTCTTCGCCATCTGGGCTCCAAGTTCAGTGAAACAGAGGCCAATCTCCCAGGCAGGTTAGAACGCTGCTCCTCTCCTTCAGATATGAGGGCAGGAAGTGTAAACTGGGTTCTAGACCCCCGAGATTACAGACTGCACCATGCCATGCTGGGAAGGGGCTAGGAAAAGGGCAAGTAAAAACCTCACAGAAATTCTTTTCATTTGAATGTCTCTTTTTCTTGGTTCAGTAATCAATTTGTTGCTGTAGACCTTTGATTGTTTTCAAGAGCTCCTATAACATTTTGACCAATTTAAAAAATGTTCCCATGAGAAATGAGGCCCTGAGTTTTCCTAGTCCACCATCTTCCTGACATCACCCCAACTCCGCTTCCTATTTAATATCCCCTAGGTGTGAAAGCAGACCACACTATCACTGAGTGCTGCATCCCCCACACATACCTGAGTTTATTGCTCAGTCTGTCCTCCTTGCTCTTGCTTTTATACACACCTGCTTTCCCAAGAAAGCCATGTGCCATTGAAATATGATGGCCACAGTCCTTGTGTCTGGCCAGAGGGATGGTGACTGCTAATGTTCTTCATGAAAACAGCCCTTTCTGGTACTCAGATGTCACTGTCAAACTTCCTTGCACCAAAGCTGCCAATTCTATCTTATCCTCTGTTATGATTTGGATACAAGGTATCCCCTGAACGCTAATGTTAGTCAATGCAAGACCGTTCAGAGGTGAAATGGTTAGATTATGAGAGCTGTAACTTGATCAGTGGATTAATCCATTTGATGGATCAATAATATGAATGGACTTCTGGGTGGTAACTGGGTGGGGCATGGCTGGAGGAAGTAGGTCACGGGGTGAGGGGGTATGATTTTGAGGATTAAGTTTTGCCTTTGCTTCTAATGAGTTTTCTTCCACCATGATGTTCTGCCTCACCTCAGGCCCAGAGCAGTGGAGTCAACTGACCACACTCAACCTCTGAAGCCATGAGCCCAAACAAACTTTTCCTACTCTAAGGTTGTTCTTGACCCATAGTTAGGTCATAGTAATGAAAAGCAGACCAATGCATCCTCTTTTCCTTGCCCATCTCCCAAGAAGATTTGAGAATGTCTAGATTTCTCTGAAGAAAAAAAAAAGTAAGTAACTTTTTTTTCCTCTGGGGGAAAAAAAAAGTTAAAATGTGCTGGCCACAAATGAAGATATTCAGTTCCAAGTCAGCCCACTGAGGCAATTTATTTCCCAGTGGCCTTGAAAGCACAAAGGATAACCAAGAGCCCATTTGTTCTGTTTTGAAAGTAAAAAACTGAAATAGACCTATAGGGCAAGACTGTGGCTCAAGTGCCTGAAGGTAGGAGCACCCAACCTTGGACGTCCCTGCAGGGTGGGCCAGGCCTGCCATGGAAGAGGCCACATTCAGGAGGAGTGGACGTTCTTCCAACAAGAGTGCAGAGGAAATTGGGACTATCCAGACACCTAGAAACACTCAACTGAGAGAAGTAACCGTGTTGGCACCTCTGCTGTGGTGTTTTCAAGCCGTAAAGGGACCTTGTTGATTGTTGGAATGAAATTCCTTATGGAGGGCACAAAGACCCTATTGACAGTTTCTTCAGTTGCAACCACCTGCTGCCTTTGATTTGAAAATAACAATGAACATTCCTCCTACCTCTCCCTACCCATCCCCCCCTCAGCCTTTCCCGCCCTCCCTCCCTCCCTCCTTACCTTCCCCCTCTCTTCCAGCCAGTTTCCAGTGAGCACTCTGGTCGAATACTGTTTCTCAATCTGCCAGCTTGGAGTAGAGAACGACTGTGGAGCCACCCCCAAAAATACCATGGTAAGGATCTCTCCCAGCCTCCTTGGATTTGATGGGTTTAGGGGGAGGCAGAGGAATTACAGAGTTGCCGCACTATCTTCCCAGTCACCCTCCTGAGTGGAATTGAAAAAAAAAAAAAACTCTGAGAGTTCACTTTCAGCCTCCAGGGAGAAGGACTGGATCTGGGTTCTCTATTGTTTACTGTCTCCGTGGGGACAGACTCCAAGTATAAATACTCTCCTTCAGGGAATAGCTGATTCTGCAGGCACAAAATTGACCCCATAAAAATAAACCAAACCAACAAGTCTCACCACAGAAACAGTAGTGGAAAGACCTGGTTTCTGTGTTAACACCCCAAAATGGGCATCAGCCTTGCCACATTTCTCCAATGGGGTGAGTTGAATTCTGCTACTTAATGAGTGCCAATCAGTGAGCTAGACCCAGGCTGAGATATTGACATGTCTTCTGTCTCAGTAGCTTCTGAGGCAGGTGCAACTATTGTACCCATTTTCCAAGTGAGAACACTGAAGCAGAGAGAGATCAAGCAGTTATCTAAAGTCACACAGCCATCAAGTTAAGCTTAAACCCCTGGGTTCCATTCACTACCTGTCTGCAGTTTTGCTCAAGGGGCTTCAGTGAAGAATCTTGTATTTGTGTTTGTATCGATACAACATGGTTCGCTCAGTCTTCATTCATTCACTCCACAGTCATTTCACATTGTATGTTTGGTGCGGAGCTGCAGCTTCCATGTATTAGTGACTAGACCTCAGCCGAGCCCCCAGGTCTAGTCACGAATACATCTCTAACTGAGCTCAGTTCAGCAGGAAGAAGGCCACTCTCTTGTCAGTTTGTTAGACAAAAAAGTCAAGACCCACCTAGATGTGTATTGACCGAGGGCTGGTTCAATAACCTGTGCTGCACTCATATAATTAAATTCTCTGCAGCTATTAAGAAGGCTGATGCAGGAAGATGCCTGTAACGCTGGTTAAGTTGAAGAAGCAGAACCCTGCTGCTGTGGGCTTGCTTGCTACAAATGGAAACACTGGATTTCAGTAAGATTGGGAGAAAGTGTTTTCCAACTGCCTTTGACTAAAAGCAGGAGAACTCCTGGAAACTGCTGGTTTCATCTTGATGCCAAATTTGAAGACCAGGAAGATGTGTCACTGAGCAGAGCAAGCCTCTATCAGGGGTCACAGTGTGGGCATGGCTGATGTGAGGAAGACAGGGTCCTATCTTTTTAATGAAAGTTCCAGGGGATCATGTATTCTGTGTAATTCCACTTGTAAAACCTTTCATTTTAAAATGTGACTTAAACATGAACAGTTTCAGTAAAAATAAATCTACAGATACATATGCTGGAAAAGCAAAATCTCACAAAACCACTGAGTAGGTCAAGGAAACATTTCCCACACCCCACAGTGTTCCACACGCCTCCTGCCACTCAAACCCATTCCGCCCCCCAAGAAAACTACCATCCTGGCTTTATGACAATAGCTTCCCTGTTTATTGTTATATGCCCAGCACCAAAGTCTATCTTCCTAAATGCTAATGTAAAGCTGGGGGAGGGGGTGTAGCTCAGTGGTAAAGTGTGTGCTTAGCATACAGGAGGCCCTGGGTTCCATCCCCAGCACAAAAAAAATCAGATCAAACTAAACTAGCATTTAGTTTTGCATGTTTGTTGGTTTCATAGAAATATAATCTCATGGTATATATTTATTTGAGTCTAGGTTCTCTTTTCTTCAATGTAGTTAGTGGTTTTAAGTTTCAATCATGTTGCAGGTAGCTGTTGACCTCAAATAATAACAGAAAGGGCTATCTTTGATACTACACCAAAAGCTAAATTATTTTTTCCTCTTGGGAGTTCAGTAATGGAATGCAAAACTCAAGAATTCAAGGAATTATTATATTATAATCTGTGATGTGCGTGCTGTGATCAATCAGGCACATCCAGGGAGGTTGGGGCAGTGGGCAAAAAGGAGAAAGAGGTGCTGCAGGTTGTTTGGAAACAGAAGTTTGCTGGTTATGGGGGTTGATCATGGGAAGTGATATGTCCTGGCCACAGCTGAGAGGGTCTTCCCAGAAGCAACCGGACTGCAGGCCTGTGGATTGTTAAGGGTGCTTGCAAGGGTGCGGTTAGAACTGGCTGTGTCTGGAAAGAAGTGCTCACAGAAGTGGCCCTAACTGCCAGGTTGTGTCTGGCCGTCTCTTGTGATATTCTTGTTTTGGACAGATGTGTGGGAGAGCCCATCTTTCTGTGGGCAAGGATGATGCCCATCTTGGGGCGTCAACTTCTTTTTATTAGGGTTTGACAAATGACTGGATCTTGATCCTCCCAACTTGCACCTAGTTGCGGTTGCTATGGCAGCATAATATGCTTCTCCCGGTGACCAGATGTAGCCCCTTCTCTAGAGCAGAGGTTGTCAAACGTTTGGGTCTCAGGACCTCTTCAGTCTTGTAAAAAGACTGGAGAACTCCTAGAAACTGCTTCCCCCAGCCCCATATTGGGAATTGAACCCAGGGCTGCTCTACCACTAAGCCCCATCCCCAGTCTTTTATTTTTTTTAATTTTGAGGCTAGATTTCTCAAAGTTGTCCAGGCTGGTCTGGAACTTGCAATCCTCCTGTCTCGGCCTCCTGAGTCACTGGGATTATAAGTATGTGCCACTGCACCTGACTCAGAGGGCGCTTTTTTTTTTAATGTGGATTAAATTTAGTGGTACTGGAGCCATGTCCTATCAGGTCATGTGAACCAATTGTCATGGTGGAGATATTTACACCATGGAATTGGCTACTGCTGTATACATATCAGGGTGTTTCCCTTTGCTTGTTTGTTTTTTTCAGAGAGCCAGTTTACCTTCAGGACACCAATTAGTTCCATCAATAGTCACCGTATTAGAAATTCAAACAAATCCAAAGTGTGTTCATTGATTCCAAAATTGCAAAACTCGTTGCATGTTAACATAGTTAATTTTTTAATGAAAAGTAACTCTGTTTTCTGAAACAAAAATTTGGTGAAAAGAATGGCATGTTTTATGTTTTTGCAAATATGTTTCATGTCTAAACTGATAAAGATAGATTCGTACATCTGACTGCCTTCACGCTGTTGGATATATTGCTCTTTTACTTTGTGTGTCTGTGTATGTGTGTGTGTGTCTGTGTGCGTCTGTGTGTGTGTGTGTCTCTGTGTGTGTGTGTGTCTGTGTGCGTCTCTATGTGTCTATGTGTGTGTGTGTGTGTGTGATGCTGAGGGTCAAACTTGGGGCCTAGTGCTTACTAGGCAAAAGCTCTACCACTGAAGCTATACCCCCAGCTCTACTGTTTTATTTAAAGGAGAAAAATCCAGCCTCATATATATCTATAGTTAAAAAAAGAAGGGAATATTTAAATAGTTCTTGATGTGAACTGTGGATGTTCTGTTGTGATGTTGTAACATAACAGGAAAAACATATTTGAGCTACATTACCAGTTCCTGGCACAGAGCTTATAAATTACTTTAATATCCTGAGTAATAGGTGACAAAGGAGCACCTTTTGTCAATTGTTAACAAGTCCCTTTTAACCATAAGGGAGTCTCTGCTAATCAGGTGACTCTTGGTGACTCCTGGGTAGCTTCAGGATGGGGCTGCTTGTCAAAGGTACTCCATTCTCTGACCTCCTTGTAGGGGAGAGGGACTGTGGCTGAAGTTAGCCTCCGATAGCCAATGACTTAATCAATCATGCCTATGGAATAGAGTATCTGTAAAACCCTAAATGAAGGGGTTCAGAGAGCCTCTGTGTTGGCAAAAGTATCCAGCACACCCCAAAGATCACAGAGACCACAGCTCCTGTGCATGGGTCTTCTGGACCCCACTCCATGTACTCCTCATCAGACTGTCATTGATATCCTTTGTGACATCCTTTATAACAAACGGGTAGTAGTTTCCTTGGCTTCTGTGAACCATTATAGTAAATTATTGAACATAAGGAGGGGCCACGGGAATCTCTGATTTATAGATTTATAGCAAAGGCAGGCAGAAGTGTGGGTAACTTGAGACCCCCAACTTGGTTGGCATCCAATGAGGGGGCAGTCTTATGGGCCTGAGTCCCTAACCTGAAGGTCTGCATGACTTAGCGTCAGAACTCAGTTAGATTGTCAGACACCCAGTTGGTACCTTAAGAGGACTGGAGACTTGCTTGGTGTGCTGGGGAAAATCCAATACTTCTAGTGTCAGAAATGTTACAAGGAGAAGTCAGATCACAGGGGTTGTGCCTTTGATCCTACATCAAAACTCTTTAAAGAGTTGTATTGTGGCATTAAAATCCACTGGCTCATTTTGTGCTCTGAGTAAATCTTTTACCTGTTCATCATTTTGTCACACTGCAGAGGTCATTTGGAAAATATTAGTTTCCTGAGCTGTGTGGATCTTTCAAGTGTTGATGTTATTTAAAAATCATATTTGTTAGTATCGATGCGAATCTCATCAGAAAAAGCATGTGTTTAGGAAGTTGTTATCCACAGTTCCCCGTGGTAGGTAATAGTTTTCCAAAGTCCTAGTTTTACCTTTGAAAGTACAAAATTTTGTCACTGGCAACTATTCTAAGTTTTTTTGTTTTTCCTGAAAGTGATAAACTTACTTCATTTCAAGAAAACATCTGACAAGCCTGCACGGTGGTACACGCCTGTGATTCCAGCAACTCAGGAGGCTGAGGCGCGAGGATCACAAGTTTCAGGTCAGACTCAGCAATTTAGGAAATGATGAATGAGCATGAGCCGGTGCAGAGGGAACCGGGTGGTTGTGGGATGGTGCATTTGGAACACAGACCTACTGGAAATTCCAGTTCCACCACTTACTAGCCATTTAACTTTGACCAAGTTCCCTGGCCAAAGCAATGCTGGTTTCTTAACGTGTAAATTGGGACTAAATACTATGTACTTCATAAGATGGTGAGAACGCCATGAGCTGTTACCTCTGCGGTGCCTGGGAAAGTGCTGGTCACATCTAGAAGGTCAATAGGTGTTTGGTTCTTTCTTCCCTTTGTGCC